CTATCTAAACATTAGCTGAACAGCCAATCAGAGCGTTCTCTATTGCCAACGACTCCAACGATGCTGGTTCTGATCTGCTATCTGAATTGTAGCTGAACAGCCAATCAGAGTGCTCTCTATCACTGACGGCCTCAATTCTGCTGGTTCTGATTTGCTATCTGAATTACAGCTGAACAGCCTATCAGAGCTCTCACTGAAAGATTCTGATTTGTTATCTAAACTGTAGCTGTAACTCCAACTGTCTGATAATCATCGTCAATAATTCCTTACTTGCACATTACATAAAGTTAAATGATAAATAGGATATAAAGGAAAACATAAGCACAAACTGTCCTTTCTTCTTTCCAGTACTACCTCCATATGGACGGCAGAGGAAACTACGAATTCAAACCCATCACACCGGAAACTGTGGAGTTCGGCTCTTAAAGAGGAGCGACAGCACTATCAGAGGCCCTAGTTAGGTGCCCTAACCGTTCACTTCCTAAAGAGTCGCTTGCCAAGCTAATCTAGGAGTTTGTTTTTAATCATCTGTAACCTTTATTTTTGGGATGAAATCGTGTTTAGGAATTTATTAACACTACTTTCGTTCTCTCTGATTGTATATAATTTTGTAAATTAAGCAGTCCAATTTATAGGACGTCCGTTAAGTACGCCAAAACAGCGTATTGTCGTGTCTTGTCAATGCACTTAATTGTTTAATAAATGAAATTTTGTCCGTATAGGCTCACGCAAACCAACACCACAAGACTGAACTACATGTTAATGAATTATTATTGCCTTTTTTCATCAGCTAAACCTTACATCATGAATTCTTTTAAGCTACTAAGTGGCCTTAGTGCTCATTGCAGCATCGTTGGGCGGTTTGAACGTGTGCAAGTTGCTCTTTTTAGTGCACTTTAGCGTGGATGGAGATCTGAAAAGCTGAAAGACTCTATCTGTATTCGATGAGAAGTCGCCTATGCACTTGTTTACTGCAGAATTTTCGATGTGAATGTCAGAAACGTCATTGTCGTAGCATTTCACACATGAAGCAAACAAAACCACTTTGCTGTACGTTTTCATTAAAAAAGGAGATATTGGTACTATGAAGTCTGCTAGTGGTGTTTTTATCATTGAGAAAGATGGTGTTGATGATGTGCAGAAGTGTGTGTGAATACAGTTGGACTGGTTTATTGCAGGTTGTGGGCTACTTTAGGGTGTACGTTGAACTTTAACACAGTTTGAATGTGAGTGAAAGGCCATTTAGATTAGACGCTCCTTTGACCTTTCACCCTCTACATGATGATGTATTGTAAAGTGCGTCCAGTCACCTGTTTTTGGTCAAAGGTGGTAAAATACAAACGGAGATGTCCTACAATGCTATTTCATTGCAGGTTTAGCCTGAAACAATGATTTTCTTCAGCAGTTTGTACAGGTAGTGATGTGTTAAATATTTACTTGAGCAGCACAATGAGTTACAATTAACAAATATTTGATCAAAATAAAATGAGTTCAAATTATTTATTTTACATTTATTTGTTTATTTGTTTTTCACCTTTTTAATTATTGCTTTACTTTTTTATTTCTAAAATGTATGATTTTTTTATTATTAAATATATACTCTTTTTAAAAAATAAATAAATGTTTATTTTTTCCCCCAATGTCTGTTTAAGGGAGAGAAGATTTTTTTCAACACATTTCTAAACATAATAGTTTTAATAACTCATCTCTAATAACTGATTTTATCTTTCTATACAGCTTAAAGTGACTTAAGGCGTTACTAGGTTAATTAGGTTAACTATGCAGGTTAGGGTAATTAGGCAAGTCATTGTATAACGATGGTTTGTTCTGTAGACTAGCGGAAATAAAAATAAAAAAAATCCCTTAAAGGGGCTAATAATTTTGTCCCTAAAATGTTTTTTAAAAAAAATAAAAACTGCTTTTATTCTAGCTGAAATAAAACAAATAAGACTTTCTCCAGAAGAAAAAGTATTATCAGACATGCTGTGAACATTTCCCTGCTCTGTTAAACATCATTTGGGAAATATTTAAAAAAAATTATAATTATAAAAAGGGGGCTAATAATTCTGACTTCAACTATATATATATATTTACACACACACACACACAACTGCTCGTTAATGCAAATTTCTAATCGGCCAATCCAGCAACTCAATGCATTTAGGCATGTAAACATGGTCAGGACAGTCTGCTGCAGTTCAAACCGAACATCAGAATGGGGAAGAAAGGAGATTTAAGTGACTTTGAATGTGGCATGGTTGTTTGTGCCACACAGGGTGGTCTGAATGGTTAACAGAGAATGGCCTGAAAAAGAGAAAATATCCAGTGAGCGGCAGTTCTGAGAGACCAAATGCCTTGTTGATGCCAGGGGTCAGAGGAAAACGGCCAGACTGGTTCCAGCTGATTAAAAGACAACAGTAACTCAAACACTCATTACAACCAAGGTATGCAGAAGAGCATCTCTGAACGCACAACACATCCAACCTTGAGGCAGATGGGCTACAGCAGCAGAAGACCACACCGGGTGCCACTCCTGTCAGCTAAGAACAGGAAACTGTGGCCACAATTTGCACAGGCTCACCAAAACTGGACAATAAAAAATTACGTTGTAAAATAAAATAATAAAAAAAGAAAAACGTTGCCTGCTCTGATGAGTCGATTTCAGCTGCAACATTTGAATGGTAGGGTCAGACTTGGCATCAACAACATGAAAGCATGGATCATCCTGCCTTGTAGCAAAGGTTCAGGCTGCTGCTGGTGGTGTAATGGTGTGGGGGATATTTTTTTTGGCACACTTTGGGCCCATTAGTACTAATTGAGCATCGCCACAGCCTACCTGAGTATTGTTGCTGACCATGTCTATCCCTTTACAACCACAGTGTACCCATCTTCTGATGGCAACTTTCAGCAGGACAATGCATCATGTCATAAAGCGTGAATCATCTCAAGACTGGTTCTTGAACATGACAACGAGTTTACTGTACTCAAATGGCCTCCAAATCATCGGATCTCAATCCAACAGAGCACATTTGGGATGTGGTGAAACAGGAGATTCGCATCATGGATGTGCAGCCGACAAATGTGCCGCAACTGTGTGATGCTATCATGTCAATATGGATAAAAATTTCTGGGGAATATTTCCAGTACTTTGTTGAATCTATGCCACAAAGGATAAGGAGGTCCAACCTTGTACTAATAAGGAGCACCTAATAAAGTGGCTGGTGAGTATTCGTTTGTGTGTGTGTGTGTGTGTGTGTGTGTGTGTGTGTGTGTGTGTGTGTTTGTTTCTAAAATGTATGATTGTTTAAAACATATTATAATAATTATTATTATTATTAATTTTTTTTTTTTACCAAAAATAAGACTTTTTTTTTTTAAATATATATATGTTTAATATCTTTACTACAAATGAGTTTAACTATGGGCATACTATTGCATAGGCATTACTATGTTTACTTTAAATGGGAAATATTTTTTGTGGTTGCACCATAGTCCTTTTAATACTTCTCAATTTTGTACCGGAGCTCATTTTCAAAGTACACATTGGTTTGCCTGCTTCAATCCTGCAGTCTCAGCTGTTCATGACTTGCGATTCAGTGCAAGTTAATGATGTATGAGATGTGCTGGATTGCTTCCAATGTCAACTCTTATGAAGCCTGATATGATATTTGGGGCGGTATCTCACCAGTGGATCAGTACACGGAACTTCACATTACACTGATATTAAAGATTAACTCTGGCTGTCATAGTAACAGACTGACAAAAAAGTAAATGATATACAGTACTTGAAAGGTATATACACATACACTGCACACACACGATTGCTGTGTAAAATGTAGGAAAGGAGAGAGCAAAAACACCAGTATAAATGAATAGAAAACAAATAAAAGTACAGAGGGTGCATTTTAGGACTGTTAGGGCCCCCAAATCAATAAAACCGCCCCTGGTGATAAGTAACACTTTTTATTTGTAATTAAATATGTTGTTGATGTTAATGGTTAAGTAGTATTTGCAGTATTAACATTCAAAAGAATTGTTTAATTGTTTTGTACAATACAAGTATATAACCCTAACAGTAATAGTATATTAATAGAAAATTATATACAGTTGAAGTCACATTTAATAGCCCCTCTTTGAATTTTTTTTGTCTTTAAATATTTCCTAAATGATGTTTAACAGAGCAAGGACATTTTCACAGTATGTCTGATAATGATTTTTCTTCAGGAGAAAGTCTTATTTTGTTTTATTTCGGCAAGAATAAAAGCAGTTTTTAATTTTTAAAAACATTTTTGGGACAAAATTATTAGCCCCTTTAAGCTTTTCAATAGTCTACAGAACAAACCATCATTATACAATGACTTGCCTGATTACCCTAATCTGCCTAGTTAAGCCTTTAAATGTCACTTTAAGCTGTATAGAAGTGTCTTGAAAAATATTTAGTAAAATATTATTTACTGTCATCATGGCAAAGATAAAAAAAATCAGTTATTAGAAATTAGTTATTAGAACAATTATATTTAGAAATGTGTTGAAACGTCCCTACGTTAAACAGAAATTGGGCAAAAAAATAAACAGGGGCGCTAATAATTCAGTAGTTTTACTTTTTTGCATTTTATTTGCCTCAGAGAGGTCACTTGAGTTGTAGATTTATAAAAAATAATCATAAAACATCAAGAAATTGAGCCCATTTATTATTATTATTATTATTATTATTATTATTATTATTGATTATTAACCATTTGTTTTGTAAGGCCAATATTTGGGATTATCAATATTTATAGAGTGAATAAATATAAAAAATACTCATCTGGATCCTTTTAAATAAAACATTTACTATTATATTTAATTAACTACACAATTAATCTAAAGTAATCTTCCTGAAAGCAAGAATCATTAGCATGTTTTATTTTCTCATGAAGCTGACAGTGCCGTTCATTTGTTTACACTTTAAACTGCTGATCATTGGCCACCGCATCATGTGCTTCAGTCTTTCATTTTCACCTCAGTACAGGAAGCTTGTCATAAACCACATCTTGTTCCCCTGAAGGTGTAAAGCAGCGAGTGTATAGTCTGTTTGCGTCGCTGTAACTTTTTGTTTTCACAAACTTAAAGCGTTTTTAGGATCTGAAGCATGATATGGCGAAGAAGCTGGCCTTCCTTCTTATCTCCTGCCTTCAGACATTCAGCACAGCAAGTCAGACAAACCAACAAGGTATTTCTCAAGTATTTTCTCTAAATGACTATCTTTATGATGCTAGGAAGAGTAAACGTAACGACCTCACGATGACAATGCAAACTAACCAGTTCTGTAAGAATGTTTCATGTGATCAAGTGGCTTTTTAAATATACATCATGGCTGTAACCACTTTGAGGTGGACCCTCAGATATTAGAAATGCCAGAATATTATAATATTGGCATTTTTTACACTCTTATGCTGCCCTGCATTATGAAAAGTTCATATGTTAGGATGTCCATTTTGACCAAAAGTACAGTTATACTGTATTTTTAGGCTGGCCTACTTGACTCAGCAGTAAATAATGCTAGTTAATGTCAAAATGATTGAAAGGGCCAATCAAATTGAAGTAGGCGGGGTTTGGAGCTCACAGAAGCAGAGTGAAATTTCCAGTGCGATATGGCAAGCTGTTTATCATTTAATCTAAAAGTATGTTCTTATGATAATAGTATTTTATAGCTACACTGCTAGACTTTGCAGCAATTTTACAGTTGTTTACTGCAAAAAGCCCAGTAAAATACCACATACATTCTTTACAGTTCACTCCTGTAATATGCACTCCTTTGTGGGTCATTTTAAAAGTTTTACAGTAACTTACGAGATATTAGAATTTTTGCGGTATTCTACTGTAATCAAGTACTGCTACTGTAGTTAAAGACAAAACTAACTTGTTTGTAATTTATTACATTCAATAGTAAATGCACAAAACAAAAGTTTTGTAGTGTAAAATGTAAATAAATTACAGAAAAAGTACTGTAAAAATTGTCATACTGTAAAATTAAAATGTGGTAAAGGGCGTTTTACCATTAAAAATAAGTTGCGGTAAGGATATTTTAATGAAATTGCGGTAAGGCCCGGCTTTTGTAAAGCACATCTACAGGTAAGTTTCTGTAAAAGGGCAGTTGCTGTAACTTGCTGGCAACAGTGAAGCCAGTAAATTACTACCAAAACATACAATAAAATGTCTAACAATGTACTAGTGCAGTGGTTCTCAAACTTTTTTCATCAAGTACCACCTCAGAAAAAAATTGTCTCTCCAAGTACCACCACAATGAGCAGTATTGAAATACAGTAGCGTAGTATTGAAATATAGCAGCTACAACTCTGCAAAGTAAAAAAAAAACATGGCAGATTACCTCAGAAATATAGGCTACATGTCATATATGGCATATTATATACATCATTTTTGAAATGTGTATAGCATGTACATGACATATTTCATTCCTCCGCGTACCACTAGAAGCAAGCCTGCGTACCACTAGTGGTACACGTACCACAGTTTGAGAAACATTGTACTAGTGTTTTCCATTAGAGAGAAGTACTTATTAATTAGCTACTAGTGCTTATTTTTTGGGTACTATTATATTTTTAAAAGACAACATATTTATATTAAGAGTCTAATATGTATTTCATTTATTAGATTTTTTTTTCCGTTTGATTACATTAAAAGGTCCCACTTTATATTAAGTGTCCTTAACTACTATGTACTTACATCAAAAAAATAAATACAATGTACTTACTGTGGTCATAATGTATTTGAGAACACTTGTGGTGCTTTTGAGTTGGGATAGGGGTTGGTTAGGGACAGGTTTGGTGGGATGGGTAGGTTTAACGGTGGGTTAAGGTGTAAGGGATGATCAACAGAGTATTTACAAATGTAATTACAAAAGTTAATTACAGAGGTAATTACATACAGGTATTTAATCAAGCATAAGTACACAATAAATACATGTATTTACACAATAAGTACATTGTAACAAACTATTAATTTCTGTGTAAGTACATATAAGTTAAGGCCACTTAATATAAAGTGGGACCCATTAAAAAACAGGTGTCACTTTAAAAATGCACACCTCTAACGTTATAATGAAAGCATTGCTTTTCTAGTTTTTATGCTCATTGAGGACAAAATTAGTTGTGTTAAAAAAAAACCCCACAAAGATCGACATCTTTAGATGTTATTATTATTAATTATGTGTATATGTCTGTTCAAATACACACCCAAAACCCAAACTTTCGCTCTGCTTTAAATTGCATGTACAGAATCCGCTTGGGAAACAGCATCTATTTATCACTATGGAGCGCGTCAGCTGACAGTCACACACCGCTATTTGTTTTGAGAATTGCATAGGAGGGGCGACGGTACCTATAATAAAAAGTAAAGGGAATCCCGACATTTTTTATTTATTTCAAAGTGTATTCATGCTGAAATAAAAACGAAAGCACAGAACAGACTCTTATTTCAAGAGCGAGGGGCATATAGGGAATATTGGCTCTTTAATGTTTATTGCCACCCTTTAGAGCAGTGGTCACCAAGCTTGTTCCTGGAGGGCCGGTGTCCTGGAGATTTTAGCTCCAACCCTAATCAAACACACCTGAACAAGCTAATCAAGGTCTTACTCGGTATACTTAAAACATCCAGACAGGTGTGTTGAAGCAAGTTGGAGCTGAACCCTGCAGGGACATAGGCCCTCCAGGATCGAGATTGGTGACCCCTGCTTTAGAGAAAGACTGAAAATACAGGAGAAATACTGCAAAATATCTTTATGGGATAACAGCGGAATATAACTGTAAAATACGGGAGAATCCCGGGAAAAGAGGGAGGGTTGACTAGTATGGCTTTATTTCCCCTTTAAATGGCTTGCCATATTAGGTTCAATGTTAATACGGCTTGCCATAAGCGCATGATGAGGGCATAATTACTGAGGCACAAATGAAAGTTAGCATTTAGTAATACAAACTACTTGACAATTTACCTCAAATATGGTCGTTTAGAGCTGAAAATATGGTATTATTCATGCGATTCCTAAATGAGAGCAAGAAGTGTTTTGCATATTCAATTAGTATTGTAAAAGTGATCCTAAAATTTATTGCTTTCTGTAGAGTTAGTCAAGTTTTATGTTTAATAAAACCAGTTGTTACCCAGTGTTCAAGACGTGGTTGCAGTGCAAATGTTTTCTGTCTCTGCAGCATCTTCTCTGAGGTTTGTAGGGATTGGGGACTGGGGTGGCCGTCCTTCATACCCCTTCTACACTCCACATGAGGCCGACACTGCGAAAGAACTGGCCCGGGTTGCTCAGAGCTCCGGTCTGGACTTTGTCCTCAGTCTTGGGGATAATTTCTACTATGATGGAGTCAAAGACGTAGATGACACTCGCTTTAAGGTGATCACCGTTCTCTGAGGCATCTGGTAACGTTATAAGGAAGGCAGTGTTTCCTCAAGTTAAAGGGATAGTTCTCCCCCCAAAGGAAGGAAATATAATAGTTGTTCCAGACCTGTTTGAGTTTCTTATGATTTGTTTTTACTAGTTTGGTTTTCAACATCAGTTTACAGTTTTATTTACAACAGAAGAAGGAAATGAATGCAAGTTTAGAGTAAATGACGAGGAAATGTTAATTTTGGCTTGACCTAGCCCTTTAACTGCATGCTTATCGTCAGGGTTTGATGTTTGTAATGATGAAGTAACAGGTCTGGAGAGGTTGAAGAGCACAGTTGGACAAAATGAAGGGTATTTGAGATCAATGAACTGGTTTACACTCTGATAATGCAGTTTTAAAAAAGAAAGAAAGATAAATATCCCCCTCTAGTGGCAGAGGAAGAGAACGCAGACAAGCTTTTGCCTTGGGATGTTTATACCTCGGAACAGAAGTCTGTACCATGATGTCATATAATCTAGCTTTGGCAAGCCGTTTACGTTTCAGTTTAGTTTTTTCCACCAATTCTGGATTTTAGGTACCACGAAGGTAGCTCAGCTCCTCCGTAAATGAGAGGGAAGACTTTAATTTTACCTGAAACATAATGGTACCACAACATATACATACACACATATATATATATATATATATATATATATATATATATATGCGTGCTGATTTGGTTCTTAAACAAACAAAACAACAACACATAGTTCTTAAAATTCCTTGATTAGTTTTAAATATTTATGCCAAATATACCCTAGTACAGGGTTGGCCACCCCTGCCCGAGTACATTAATGGTAATTATTCTGATATACGGTGGGGGAAATAAGTATTGAACACGTCATCATTTTTGGATGTTGGTAGCAACCAAATAAATCCATATATGCAAAGAAAACCAATCTAATTAGTTTACAAATTAAGTTAAGTGTAATAAAATTAAGCGAGGCAGGAGAAAAGTATTGAACAATCAAAGAAAGGGAGGTTTAGAAAGGCATTGAAAGCCCAGACAGCAGCTGAAATCTTTCAGTAGTTCTTGAGCAATCTTTTGCAGTGTTGACACCGCAGATCAACATGCATTACACTGAAATCTTACAAGTTACAAATTTGCACCAATTGTGGAATTTATCATGACGATAGCTCAGCTCAATACAGCAGTGATTAAAGTTGAGCTGCCTTCATTTGACCTGAAACCTGTCATTATTTACTGTAATTTGTGCATAGTAATCATAGTTTGCCATTGTAAACAAAAGTAAAATCAGATGTCTCCTCAACTCATTATTTGGATTCAATGTAGGCCTAATAACAATAGTAATAATAATTAAAAAGTCACAGTAGAGTAAATGTCTAGATAGTATATTTGACGATTTGATGCAATTATGTAATTTATGATAATTTCATTATATATGCAAAAATAAATGTAATTTTGACCTTGAGACATATAGTTATAATAATTTTTTGTTATGTTTATATATTTAGTTTTTAATATTTACAGTTGTAGTCAGAATTATTAGCCTCCCCCTTTTTTTTTTATATTTCCCAAATGATGTTTAACAGAGCAAGGCAATTTTCACAGTATGTCTGATAATATTTTTTTCTTCCGGAGAAAGTCTTATTTGTTTTATTTTGGTTAGAATAAAAACAGTTTTTAATTTTTTTAAACCCAATTTTAGGGACAACATTATTAGCCCCTTAAGCTGTATTTTTTTTCTTGATAGTCTTCCGAACAAACCACTGTTATACAATAACTTTCCTAATTACCCTAACCTGCCTAGTTAACCTAATTAACCTAGTTAAGCCTTTAAATGTCACTTTAAGCTGTATAGAAGTGTCTTGAAAAATATCCAACAAAAACTATTTACTATCATTATGGCAAAGATAAAATAAATCAGTTATTAGAAATGAGTTATTAAAACTATTATGTTTAGAAATGCGTTGAAAAAATCTTCTCTCCGTTAAACAGAAATTAGGGACAAAATAGACAAGCGGTCTAATAATTCAGGGGGGCTAATAATTCTGACTTCAACTGTATATATTCTTTATTCTTATTCTAATTTTGATATAATAGTGGAGATATAAACTGTTGTTACACTTTATGACGCTTAGTCTTCTTTAAATTTTGGGGAAAAGTATGATAGTCCCCCACCCCCCCAGAATATGTGTTATAATTTGTAATATTCTTTTAAGTAATGTTTTAAATTCTAATGCAGAGATCTCTGCTCTTCAGTTCAGCTATGAACAGGTGTTCTCTCATCCTGCACTGATGACCATACCGTGGTATCTGATAGCAGGAAATCATGATCATCGTGGAAATGTGTCTGCGCAGATCGCCTACTCCAGCCGGTCTGAAAGATGGTGAGCCAGAGTTAAAACACTACTAAACAATGTAAAGATGAGCATTAATGACCACAGGGAGCTTCTGTTCGTGCTTCTCAGGATCTACCCAGACCTCTATTATGAGCTGAACTTCAAGGTGCCTCACAGCAACACGTCCCTCACCATCCTGATGACCGACACTGTGGTTGTGTGTGGGAATACATACGACGGCCTCGATCCTGTAGGGCCAGAGGACTTGGCTGCTGCTAACAAACAATTGGCATGGATTGAGCAGAGACTTCAAAGTACCAAGTGAGTATTAGACTGCATTAGTGCCACCTAGGTTTTCAGCAGTGCCGCTTCTGCAAGTGCTTTTCCAAATTCTAGGGATTTTATAGTCTTTATTTTAGTGTTATGTTAAAACTAGCTGGCTACTGGGAGAATCACAGCATTACAGACTTTAATTTGAAGCTGAGAAGTAAATAAAAGGCAGACAACAAACAAAGATACAAGATTGTGTACTTTACAGTTAAATTACTACATTCCCATAAAGCATTGCGAATGACACAATCATATTAAAAACAAAGAAATCTTTAACAATTCAGTTGTTGATTGTTTCTATAGAAACATTAATTAACATTCATAAAAAATGAATTAAAGAAACATAACATTAACATTAATTCATGCGTATATCTTTGTACATATTGTTACGTGTTTAAGTTTAATAATTAAATGGATGAAACGTAACAATCAGTGAGTCTACTGATGCTGGATGAATAAGGAGAAGACACAACCGCTTGTTAAGTGAAACAAAAAGTAAGCAGGGCTTTACATTAACACCCGCCAACCCGCCAAATGCAGGTAGATTTCAGCTTTGTCGGGTTAGTCACTCTCACTAGCCACTTTGGCTGGTTGAAAATAATTTTTAAATTGTGTTTTTCTTAAAAGCAGGGTTCTACTATAAGAATGACCCAATATGCGTACAAATATGATCTTAGAATGGAGAAACAGCACGACTAACAAAAAAGAGCGAGCATGCAAGCAGAAGAAAGCAGATGAATACCGAATGAGAGGATAATAATCACTCGCGCTAACAGCTGATGTAATGCGCGCGACTGTTTAAAGCCTGTGCGCGCTCCTGTTTCCTTCCTTGAAGCACACTTGCCTGGAACGCAACTGTGATCGGATCTCTTTCAAATAGTCAAGCAAAAAAGTAATGCTAATGCACACACAGTCTTGCTGCTTTCAAGAGCTCCAAATATGTCTTTTTGTAAGCAGCACCGTTTGCTTTCGCTTTGAACAGATTATTAATTGGCCTTAACCCTGTGATCATCCTTCCATTACCACACGGTATGTTTTTAACCTGTTTTGTTTTTTACAACATCATTGCTTTAATATGAGATTAACTCTCCATTTATGTGTAGTTAACTGGTAATCTGAGAGACCTTTAGCGAGGACAGATTACTGTGCAGATTTTTGACATGACAATAATTATTTTTAAAAGTCAATTGCTTTTCTTTGTTTTTTTTTATAGAAACGTTTTGTTAAATAAAAAATATAGTATACAGCTATATTTTGCTTGTTTGACACATTTAAAATTTGTGGCTATAAATAATTTTTGTTTGGTGTGGTCAGAGATAAATTAGGTAAATCCTTAATTTTGAGTTCTGAAAAGTTATGTAAAATAAAAACTAATTGCAGTATAACACTATGAAACCATGACCCATTTGCTCATACACGACACACAAAACGTGAAATGAACGAGAAGGCATGTGGACATAACACAAAATCTAAATCAAGTAATTTTAGCATGTCAAAGTCATATTTATGCATATAAAATATTTTTCCAACAACAAAATTGTGGCTTGTGAAAATGCAGAGTGGCTAGTAACGTTGGAAAACTACTAGCCACTGTGTCTGGAGATCAAAAAAGTTAATGTAAAGCCCTGAAAGTAAGTATTTATTAAACAGAAAATGTCAAACAATGAATAGGAAAATGTAAATGTAATTTTAAATAATTGAATTAAATAAAGAAAACAGGAGTGTTGCCAAAACAAAGAAATAAATATAACAAAATCTAACTAAACCCCAACCCACCAAACTGACTGATCAAAGAAAAATGCAGAAACAAAACCGTAATCTTCAGCACGTAGCTTAACTAAACTTCATAACTTCCAAACATAATTATACATGTGGCAATGCCTCTGTTAACTAACTAATACAGAATTATCCCAAGCTGCTCACATTACTAGAATTCTATTAAAGTACACACACTGTTAGCCATTAGCAAAACAATATCTCATATAATCCAGTTCTCATGAAGATCGTTCAAATTCTCCTTAGACAATAAACTGAGCTGCACAAGTTTATCTAATAAATCAATCTCTCAATAAAGAGAAAACTAGAACACAGCAATTGCAAACAAAACCTAGCGAAGCTAACAAGTGAACAGGCCGGAGGACAATGGTGATTGACAGCTCACTTGTTCCTCCACTCTATTGGAGTTTTCATTCCAAAATGGCCGCCGCACCCTCAAGTGGCTTTTTCCCAAATTACAGTAGAGTGTTGCCTCGGTCATTCTAAGCTCTTTGACAGGATCCACAACAAGAGAGAGAGAGAGAGAAGAGATTGCAAAACAGAAAACAAACAACAAAACACCACAAAACATATGTGAAATGTAACTATGTATTTATACAAGACTTTAACTGAATTGTTCTATATAAATATTAAAAGGGATATATCGCATCCAAAATAATGATGCGTCCCAATTTGCATACTTATAGCAAATCACGGACATCATTATGAACTTGGCAATTAAAGAGTTGAAATCCTGTAGTTTTTAAAAACATTTTTGTAGTTTTGATCAGGACTGAAGTTGACTAACAGATTTTTGCAAAATATTCATCTCATGCATTTTTACAGCAGTTTAATTCAGTGTTTTAATCCTGAACATAAGGAAAGGATAGTAGATTTGAGTGGTACACAAAGCTTATTGTACACACAGCACAACCCCTCACATGTTCAGCAGGAAATAAGGGGAAAAATCCACAGGAGGACTGAAATAAATCTGATAGTCATCAAATGAATCTTGCTTATTAATCCTCAGGGCGGATTTTGTCATCGTGGTTGGTCACTATCCCATCTGGTCCATCGGTCATCACGGTCCAACCAAGTGTCTCATATCAAAACTCAGGCCCCTTCTGAAGAAGTACAACGTCTCCCTATATCTGTCTGGTCATGATCACAGTCTGCAGGTCAGTGTCTTATGACAAATTCCTCTGCAATATTAGACATTTTAATGTTTAACCTTCTGATCTTTTGCTCCTTGTATTTAAAGAAGAAACTCTCATTGAGAACAAACACTTCTGAACACAGCAGGGTTTTATCAGAACAAGAAATATGTTTGTTATTTAAAGGATTCATTCTCTAAGTCAAATGTCAAATTCTCTGCCCTTTGCCTAAAAACTGAGTTTCCATGACATATAATGAGCAGATAGCAGACAAAAAACAATGCCAGACTTTAAAATCCATCCATTTGGAGCTTTATTTACTTGTTCCCAGATGTTTCTTGTGTACAAAACTATTTACAACTATAAGTTAACTAATAAAGCTGCCACAGCTGGTTAGATGATGACACATGGAAAGTAATCTTTTATTGTGTGTTGCCACATAACGTCTGTTTAAAACACGGTGCTTTAGGCAGAAATTCATTTATTCATTTTGCTTCGGCTTAGTCCCTTTTTTCATTAGGGGTCACCACAGCGGAATGAACCGCCAACATATCCAGCATATGTTTTACACAGCGGATGCCCTTCCAGCTGCAACCCATCACTGAGAAACACCCATACACACTCATTCACACACATATAATATGGCCAATTTAATTCATCCAATTCACTGGAAACCGGAACTCCCGCCAACACGGGGAGAACATGCAAACTTCACACAGAAATGCCAAATGACCAAGCTGGGACTCAAACCAGCGACCTTCTTTCTGTGAAGCAACAGTGCTAACCACTGAGTCACCCCAAAGGCCAAAATAATAAAGTTTAATATAAAAGTTTAAAACAAAAAGTGTAATATTAAGTTTAAGGGTCTTTTCAATCTTTTCACTCAATCCTTCTTTTTCGGCTTAATTCCTGCTTTGTTAGGGTTTGCCACAGCAGAATGAACCACCAATTTTCTTCTTTGTAGCACCTGCAGTATTAATTAAAGCGTTATGATTAATCATAATCAAAATTGTCTAGACTTACTCGCGGCCAAAAAATGGACCGGCCCAAGGGGAATTCTCTTGGTCCTCATGATTAGCCAATCCGGGCCTGTGTTGGATACTTCACGCACTCAAAAGCTGTAGGAGGAGGTGATGCTTTCGCGCGCTGATGTTGGTTTAATTTATTTATTTTGGATTATGAAAGCAAAATTCTCCTACGACTGTGATTATACCGCCTCCTGATGGTGAATGTGGTTATACTCATGGCAGGTATTATTTGGTAGTTTGGTCATTTATTTCACTAACTTGGCAACCGTCCCATGCACGCTAAGCTATTCCATGATGCCCCGTGAGAGAATTCATAAATAAGAGTGAAGCGACACATCAGACGCTGGTAGGTCACGTAACCATGACAAAATGGCGGATGTAGTATGTCCGAATTCCATTCATACTTCTCACGTTCATACTGTATAGAACATACTTTTCTAGTGGCCTAGTAGTACGTTTAAATTCAAATGCAGTACCTACTGAGTAGTTGGCAGTTTCGGATGCAGCCTTAAGCCTGGTTTATACTTCTGCATCAGGTGATCAGCGTGACCCACAGCGAATGCAAACAACTTTAACCATAAGGTAAACACAAAGCAACAGTCTTCATCCGGAGCTCCTTGTTAGCAGTCGACACTTGCTCCGGCTCGACTCGCCCGGCTCTCGGTCCCGCCCACACTCATCATCGCTTCCAGCCCACGGCGCATGCAACGCGCGTAGCTGTGCATTTATACTTCTGTGTCCTGTTTCTGTTGTTCTGCAATAACACTTTCGAAACGCTAGCTGGCAGTGAGGTGTTAATATTCCTCCGTGTCGAGATTCTTCACTGGTGTTTTGTTTTTTCTGAATGCTTCTCTAATGGCTTAAATTTTGAGGCAGGAACCGGCGGACGTGCAACAACTTTAACCATGAGGTAAACGCAAAACAAAACTTTCCATCTGGAGCTCCTTTACGGGACTCCACACTTGTAAACAATTGCTCCATCAGGCTCACGCGGCTCTCGGTCCTGTCCACACTTGTCAGCGCTACCAAGCCGACCAATCACAGAGCTTGCGATATGCATCGTTGCGACGTGTAGTTAAATTTTTTGAGAGGTGCTCGTCAGCGACGCAGATGGCCACGGTGTAGGGCTATGCGTACACGCAGAAGTATAAACCAGGCTCATGCGTTGACGCATAACCCTACGCCGTGGCCGTCTGCGTCGCTGACGAGCACCTCTCAAAAAATTTAACTACACGTCGCAACGACGCATATCGCAAGCGACCGATGTAACCCACGGCGCATGCAACGCGCGTAGCTGTGCATTTATACTTCTGCGCGCTGTCTCTTTTGGTCTGCATTAACACTTGCAAAACACTAGTTGGCAGTGAGGTGTAAATGTGTCTCTGTGTCGAGTTTCTTCGCTGGTATTTTGTTTTTTCTAAATGTACAAGTGGCTCAAACTCGCTCATTTTGAGGCAGGAACCAGCGGGCGTGCAACAACTTTAACTATGAGGTAAACACAAAACAAAACTTTCCATCCAGAGCTCCTTCACGGGACTCCACACTTGTAAACAAGCTCTCCATTGGGCTTGCGCCACTCGCTCTCTTTGCCGCCCAGACTCGTCAGCGTTACCAAGCCAACCAATCACAGAGCTTGCGCTACATGTCGGTGCGACGTGTAGTTAAATTTTTTTGAGAGGTGCACGTCAGCTACGCCAACGGCCACGGCGTAGGGCTATGCGTCAACGTGTATGCTGCGCCGTAGCATAGGTGTGCGCTTGACGCAGAAGTATAAATATAAAATTATATACCATGCTGTTGAGTGTGTAAGTGCATAAGTGTATAGTGTGCCATTTGGGACGCAGCTTTAGTTTTGTGAATTTGGAGTATATAGTGTGAGCGTGTGAGTGACTTTTGCGCATTTACCTTGATGTCTGGGAAAACCAAAATAAGCAGCTCAGCTCTCAGAATATAGTAAATATAGTAAGTGTATTTATGCACGCACACACACACATACACACACACTATAATCTGTTTACTCCATTTACGCCATATAATAATCTTTTTTGCACTGGGCCTGTCTAAACCGTTAATCCTGCCAACTGATGATCAACTGTAAATATTACACCTTTGACCTCTTCCCAACAGGGAAAACCACACACAATCAAGAATGCATGATTATATGGTGTCAAGGCTTTGCAGTCAAAATATGTCATTATAATGGAAGTCAATGGGGCAAAAACAGCCCCCAACATAACGAAAGGCTAGTCAATGTGAACAATACACAACAAAACTTTAAATAGAGTTGTTTTCTTTGTCGTCAGTTCATCAGAGAGGATGATGGGAGTTCGTTCGTCGTCAGTGGAGCTGGTGTTGAGGAGGATTCGTCCACTGACCACAGGAAGAGCTTCCCCTCGGCTTGGCAATTGTTCTCCAGCCCCGTCAATCAGACGTCAGGATCCTTCGTGTACTTTGAAGTCAATAAAAGTGAGATGCTGATCAATTACCTGCAGCCCGACGGGAAGTGTGTTTACCAGACATCCGTCCACAAACACAAAGTCCAACTTTGAAGTTGACCTAGTCTGAGTTTAATGAACAGAGAAGTCACTTCTGCGCACTTTACTCTTCATTGCAGTTCCTTGTGTGTTTACGTTTAGACTGAATTTTACATTTTAATTCATCTCTGGTTTGCTCTGTAGACAATAAAACACTTTGTATTTTTGATTCAGTATTATTATTCATTTTAAAACAACCGATTCACTATTGCACAAATACAGTGGGCTCAGTTTTAGCGTAGTAGATAAGTGACTCTTTTTGAGTGAATCAAAAATATGAAGTGTCACCAGCGTATCTAATTAATGACTCTTATGAACTGGATCTTTTAGTGAATCAAAACAACTGCGTCCCAATCCTCATACTATCTGTCCTAAATAATATTTGAAAATAAAACTAGTATGTCCCAAACCATAGTTTGTTGAAAAGAGTATGCCAGAGGTATTCCCGGATGGTTTGCTAATTCCGGCAAAAAATCTAAGTGTAGAAGCGTTCATACTCTAACCGCTGACATTGCCCACAGTACATTGCGCATTGGACTCAAATTCCAATAGAATTACAAATGCGTGTGAAAAGTGTAAATAAACTACAAACATAATGGACGCGCGAGACCAACCGTCTAGAGAGGCTTCGGTAAAGATGTTTGAATGACTATTAGTCAAATATCTAGCCAACTGGAAAATATTTAAATCGCATTATATGTGTTATATTTCATCTGCAACAACACCCTGCTAAAAAAAAACTGCTTAAACTAGCCTAGCCTGGTTGGCTGGTTTTGGCTGGTTTTAGCTGGTTAACCAGGCTGGTTTTAAAGGGGCTGGGAGATGACAAGCTGAAACCAGCTTGACCAGCCTAGCCAGGCTGGGAGCCCAGCCAACACCAGCTATGTCCAGCTTAAACCAGGCTTGTCAAGCTGGTTTTAGCTGATCGTTTTACCAGCTGGAATGCATAATGATAAAAATTATGTCAACATAACAGCACAATGGGTTTACTTACATTATCTTTGTACGGTCAGCTTGATGCTTTTAAGGCAATTAGTTTACTTGCTTCAAGTAACTAATCACTGTTTACAGTGTACAGTGTACTTGTTAAGCCAGTAAATATTTCATATTTTTTTCCTTTTAATTTAACATTTAACACATTTCTACGAACTTACAGTTGGGGGCGCTATTGACCCATTTATTTTCCTCAAGTAGTTTGACTGTATGTTTTCATATAAGGCTTATTATAATACATCATTTGAAGTAAGAAACTATAGACAAAGACATGCATGCTGATAAATTCACATGTGTTTTTGTATATTTATTAATGTATATAAATATAAAAAAAAACATCAGTACCATTTCCACTGGATTCACAGTGGACACGTCTGTCGTATATTAATAAAAGTTGTGTACCAAATTTACAAAAATGAACCAGATTTAACATCGTTTTTATGCTTCGCCATGGACAGATGCACTATAATAAAACTTGAATATTGGCACAACATTTCAAATACTTAAAATTACACACATAAACAACAAACAACTTCAATAGCTAAAAACAATAAATTAGTCTTTCGTTTAATAAAATATGCTCTGATTTAGAGTCTCCCAAGTGCCTACAAAAAAACCCATCAGAAATTATACAGTATTTCCCTTTGTTAGCAGGAAGATGAAATTAGGTAGTGCTTATATCTACAGTTGAAGTCAGAATTGTTAGCCCTCCTAAATGATTACCCCCCTTGTACATTTTTTTCCCTAATTTCTGTTTCAAGAGTTTACACTTAGCTGATGATTGGTAATTAGTAATTAGCTTGTTTGGCATGCTGTCCCGGGAGACAGCCCTGAGCTTATAAGATCCTCAAACCCTGGGCTCCCTCCTGTTAGCAGGGCGAAAGGGGAGTTTGAGCTAAGGTAGATCTTGATGAACTCCCCCTAGTTTTTTTCTGGCTGTTGACAGATATAGGGATGGCTAAGGAGAGATGTACGGCTTGCTAAGAGCAATTTGGTATGTTCAATTTATTTAGGTTGCGTGTTTTTTGAACTGGGGAACACGAGGTAAACCCATGCAAGCACAGGGAGAACAAGCAAACTCCGCACAGAAATGCCAACTGATATGGTCAGGACATTAACCAGTGCTGTGAGAAAAAAGTGATAGTCACTGGGCCACCATGTCGCCCAATTTAGAAAGGAGGAGGAGTAGGGGTGCAGAGGAACTCTTCAAAATGAAGATACTGAGGTAAGAAACTGGTTATTTGTAATAAGCTTGGAATCGTCTAATTGGTGAATCATGTGTTAGGTAATGCGGGACCAGCTTTGATTAATCCAGGCCCGTAGCCAGCCTGGATCTTTTTGTTCTCCAATAGTGGACCTTTTTGCAGTTATTTGCCTCATTTACTGCATTTTAATGACATTTTAAGCACTATTTTTAACCGAACTAGCTGAATTGTTGGATGGTCATCACTAACACTTTTTGACATACCAAATATATTTCCTAAAGATTTAAAATAAAGAAATGTGAAATCAAACTTAAAATACAAATGTATTACATCATAAATCTTTACAAAAAATAGGAATATTACAGTCTTGAATTAAAACTAGTTTTAGTCAAATTCTAAAAAATATTTTTAGAATTTGACCATTTCATTAAAATAATAATAATATTATAATACTATTGAATAATTAATAATAATAATGTAGAGCTTCACATTTTTTTAGCCTTTTTCTTCTACATTTAAAAAATCATAGACAACAACAATCGGCAAAATAGTGTTCAGATTAACTTTAATATGGGTTGATTTGATGCTTCACACCTTTTTATAGGTCATTTTTTTGTTACAAGATTTTTTTGTATAACTAAGGTTCAAGATTTGGAATAACAGTTATTTGCTAAATTTTTCTCTGTGTAGCAAAAGATGACTTCTCTTAGGTCAGATTGTAAAATAAAAATATTTGTTAGCATTGACGCTTGATAGCAAGTCACACTGAAGCGAAAGCCATCAGAGGATTTGACTTGGTCTTAAAGCCTTTTTCGATGGGTTATTCACTATTTATGATGGTATAGCAGTCAAAATAAGACAAGTAAGCCCATGTATGGGACAAATTCTAGACCTTTGTCAGTTAGGGGTGGGTCTTCTTAACCACTCGAACCCCCCCCCCCTGGCTATGGAACCCCCTCTCGAAATTAGTCTATAAATAAACTTCACATAAGGAAAAGAAGATTTTTTTTCAACACATTTCTAAACATAATAGTTTAATAACTAATGTCTAATAACAGATTTCTTTTATCTTTGCCATGATGGCAGTAAATACTATTTTTCTAGATATTTTTAAGATGGTAGTACTCAGCTTAAAGTGACATTTAAAGGCTTAATTAAGTTAATTAGCCAGATAGGGGTAATTAGGCAAGTCATTGTATAACGATGGTTTGCTTTGTAGACTATCTAAAACATTTGTTGCTTAAAGGGGCTAATATTATTGACCTTAATGTTTTTTTTTTTTTAAATTAAAAACTTTCTCCAGAAAAAAAAATATTTTATAAGAAATACTGTGAAAAATTCCTTGCTCTGTTAAACATTATTTGGGAAATAATTGAAAATAAATAAATAAAAATTCTCAGGAGGGCGAATAACTTTGACTTCAACGGTATATAAAAAAAAAACATTTATACAGTACAATTCAGTGCCAGACTAAAGAACCCACCACCCTGATAGTAAAAAGCTCGCGTCTTGCTAAATTATATGTCTAACATATCTACATTCTGAGGTTTCACAGAAACAGTATTTCGGTAGTGGAACGGAACAGCAATCCTCCCTTTACATTAATTTAGTTGTACCAAACAGGGCATGTGCACTCCTCACAGACCATTCAATGCTAATCCCTCTTTTCCTTCGTTTTCCGCTCTCCTCCTTCGTCTGCAGCACATCACGATGACCAAAACGATGACTATTATTGCCGAAAGGATGAAAACAATAACTCCAGTGATGACACCCGTGCCGTACTCTGCAAAAAAATAAATCACGTCCTCATTATTAAAGAGATCATTTCAAATGTCATTTTGGCAGCCCTTACTCACTCCCCAGCAAGCTTTTCTGGTGTTTGAAAGATGTCTAATAAATGGCTAATCAACATCTAAACATAGTCGTCTTGGCTAAAACCAGGCTAAATTTGAGCTGTCAGTAAAAATCTAATAGAATAAGTCTAAGAATAGGCCAAAACTAGACTAGTCATCAAATAAACAGAAATGAATGACTACACATATCAAGTCTGTCTATTCTGTCTATTTCACGACTAGTCTAGTTTTGGGCTATTCTTAGACTTAGTCTAATATTTCACTGACAGCCTACGTTTAGCCTTGTTTTAGCCAAGCTGACTACATTTAGATGTCTATTAGACGTCTATTAAACGCATAATTGTTTGCTGGGTCTCCATTTGCATGACGTTTCGAGACTATAAAACATTTGTTGACCTTCAGATCAAAGCTTAAGACTTTCTGATTACTTAAGGATCTCTGTTACTCCGATTCTCGCACACACACGCACAAAATCTGACATTTAGTAAACAGGCTTCCCACACTTCTTGAAAGTACTTGAATTTTAGACATATGGATTCAAGGCCTGGGAATTACTTAAAAACAAACATAGGTACTTGAAAGTGGTTGAATTTTAAACTGATGCTGTTATTTATTTCAACAACTGTACTGTGCTGCTTCTAAATACAAAAAAAACAATTTTTATTTAAAAATCATAAATTTAACTTTTATACAAAAACTATGATGAATAACGCACGTTTAATAAATATTTCAGAAATTTTAATTGAAACATTACCAGTATTAAATTCAACTAATTGTATTAAAGTTCTTTTAACATGAAATTAACATATTCATTTAACAAATTCGTTTAAAATTGTCTAGGTTTCTGAAAATGACACATTTAAAACTTAATTACTGACATTTAATGTAAATATTAGGAGTAAAGGGAAACGTTGTGTACAAAAAGGACTTTCTTGGCACTATATATGCTGGGTGTGAATTATAAATGATTTAGAATTACTAGTGATTTAAAAAGTCCTTGAAAGTCTTTGTATTTGGTGTGAACAAAAGTGTGGGAATCCTGAGTGAAAAGAGATTATTTTCATATTTATTATAAGTGATATTCATGAGATGATTCTTTAATAACCAGATGTAAAGGGTCAGTTCACGCAAAAATTACAATTTCCTCATTATTTACTCTTTTTTTAAATAGATTTCTTTCTTCTGTTTGAGATATTTTGTAGAATGTTGGAAAAAGCAGTGGCTTAATATCCGTAAAAACAATCAATACTATGTTAATCTGTGTCTGTTTTATGATAATACTCTTCAGTTAATCTTTGCTTTGGGTTCAACAGAAGAAAAAACAGGTTTGAAACAAGTAAACGATGACAGAATTTTCAATTTTGGGTGGACTATTTCTTTGAATGACAGACGTTTTATGTGTTGGGCGAACTATCTTTAAATTAGGCTTTTATTTACACAGAAACACTGATCTGTAAACTTAAAGCTTCATGGTCTAATTTATTTATTCTGTGGTCACATGGTTTATATATTTATTTTTTGAATGACTCTTTTTCGAACGTTTTGAGTGAATATACTTCTAATGAAGGAACAGGAATCTCATGCCCCATTCACACGGGGCGTCAGCGTCAACGCTTCCCATTTACTTTGAATGGGTGACGTCAGGCGTTGCCGAACTGCATTGTGGATCCGTCGGCGCCGCTTCAGAGGCGTTGCTCGCTGCAGAAGTTGGGACTAGCTCAACTTTTCAAACGTCGAAGGAAGCGTCAGCCAATCAGATCGCTGTATGCAAATACACCAGCTAGACAGTGGCCTATTGCTGACTGAATTTCATTGGCTGACGCTGCTATGACAATCGCGTTAGCCTCAACTTTAGACACGCCTTCAGTCAAGCGTTAACCCTGAAGCCCCATGTGAATGGTGTGTCAGAATTTGATTGAAAACATCTTAGTTTGTGTTATGAACAAATGAAATGAAATGATGATTGTTGTTTATTTGTTTGTTTGCATCACCAGTGTAGTCCAATGAATGACTCTTACGAACCAGTTCTTTTCAGTGAATTAAAAATATGACGTGCAGCCAGCATAGTTTAATGATTAATGAATCTTACATTATGAACAGGTACTTTGTAGTGAATTGCAAACATGAAGGGTGACCTGTGTAGTCTGATTAATGCTTTTTAAAAGTTTTTAGACTAATGTAGACTCATAAATATATACTCTTATTAACCAATTCTCAATCAAAAACACGCACTGCAATTAACATGGAATAAGCGATGATTCTTGTGTTTTGATGCAACTCTTAAAAGATCATTTATTTCAAAAACAAAAACTTTTTTTTTTCCTTTAGTAGAGCATTGTTACATCCCTTGAATGTATTTATTATTATTATTGTTTATTTGTGTGTTTACTGGGCTCTGTTCTTCGTACCTCGCTTAAATGATCATAGATGATTTGGCAGATCCTGGATCTTTTAATCTTGATAACTGATCTCTGGCTGACTTGGTTCTTCAAACAAGTTCGTGAATCAGATTAAAATGTCTGGATAAACTGATCTGAGATCGCTGTGTGTGTTGTGAAGGACAGATCTATCGATTCCCGAAATCATGATCAGCAATGCAACGATTGGCTGACGGCACAGCAGCGTAATGACATCATCTGATTAATATTCAATTATCCATGCGAGCAAAATGACATCAAATTAGCTGTAAACGGCTTGTTAAATGACACACAATAACTTTACACCTTGTCGTGGGCTGCATGTTTACACTTTTAAGTGTCAAGAGCAATTTATTTAGGTCATCATTTCACCGAACTCACTGCTGTTTACTGAGTCACTAGAGTGTTTTAAAGTTATTTTGATCAGCTGGTTTGTTTATAAGTTGTCACCTGTTGTTGAATCATGACTTTTAAATGCTCCAGTGTCCCTGTTACACTCAGTAAACAGCAGTGAGTTCGGTGAAATGTTGACCTTCATGGCCAATCACAGTCACTTCTGTTGAGCACATGAACACAATGGCAAATCAGGGCTGTTTAAGAACGTGCTCGGTAGTGCTCAAATGTTAGCAGAAAATGGAGGTTTTTTTAAATGTTAGTAGCGATTGGTACCAATTTCTAGTATCGTGACAACCCCAATAGTGGGTGGGGCTTTCTCCTTCTGATGACATGTACAGAGAGAGAATGCCAATCAAAGTGTTTCTGCTGACAGTTTTTATCAGTGTGATTACAAAAAAATCTAAATTAATACATGTGTACCATTAGAAGCTGGTTATATTCACACACTGTTACCACACAACTGTGTTTAAACCCCTTCTAAAAGTGACTTTTGATAATGGGTCCCCTTTAAAGTATCATTATGAGACATGGGTGTCAATTTAGTTTAGCCTGTATTTGTTTATTGGAGTCTCGAAATTCCATTGAGTTGAATTTTAGAGAATCACCAAGGATCACAGTTTCATCTGAAACTCTACTGAAGTCACCTACATCTTGGATGACCTGAGGAAGAGTAAACTCTGAGATGATTGATTCACAAGCTACTATCAGCATCCGCCCAGCAGACACACTTCTTATCAATTATAAGTGCTATCAGTTACATTTAGCTTGAATCATGCATTAATGGAGTCCATATAATCCTCTGATATGATACCGTATCAGCGTTCTGACACTTCATAAACTTCATAGCCCAGAGAGTTTATTTTTAGAAACTGATTCACTTGAGATCAGACAAAAGTCTCAGCGTTTGTTTTTTCCTTGGATTGTTGTGCGGAAAAATCCCTGAAAGGCCGAGTCAAAGTCTTTTGTTGTGAAAGTGAAAGTATTACCTTCAAAGACGGTTGTGTTTTCTTCTGTAGAGCAGTGGACGCTGCTGAGCTCTCCGAATTGTTTGTTTGCAGCACGTGAAGGTAGATAAGCTTGAACATTAAAACAGTAACCCACTCCTCGGTCCAAATCCGGCATCTCAATTATGCTTTTTTTACTAAGCATTTCTTTCTGAAAAGATAAACACAGATGATACAGTTGAAATCTTAATTATTAGCCCCCAGTATATTTTCCCCCAATTTCTATTTAACGTAAAGAAGATTTGTTTTCAACACATTTCTAAACATAATAGTTTTAATAACTCATTTCATTCATTCAATCATTTTCTTTTCGGCTTAGCCCCCTTATTAATCTGAGGTCACCACAGTGGAATGAACCGCCAACTTATCCAGCACATGTTTTATGCAGCAGATGCCCTTCCAGCTGCAACCCATCTCTGGGAAACATCCATAAACACTCATTCACACTCATACACAACGGACAATTTAGCCTACCCAATTCACCTGTACCGCATGTCTTTGGACAGTGGGGGAAACCGGAGCACCCGGAGGAAACCCACGCGAACGCAGGGAGAATGTGCAAACTCCACACAGAAATGCCAACTGACCCAGCTGAGGCTCGAACTAGCGACCTTCTTGCTGTGAGGCGACAGCACTATCTACTGTGCCACTGCATTGCCCTTAACTCATTTCTAATAACTGATTTATTTTATCTTGCCATGACGACAGTACGTAATATTTCTCTAGATACTAGTATTCAGCCTAAAGTGCAATTTAAACAATAAGTTTAACTAGGTTAATTATGCAAGTTAGGGTAATTAGGAAGTCATTGTATAATAGTGGTGTGTTTCATAAAGAATAAAAAAATATATATACCTTAAGGAGGCTAATAATATTAACCTTAAATTGTTTTTTTTTTTTTTAATTAAAACTGTTTTCATTCTAGCCAAAATAAAACAAATAAGACTTTCTCCAGAAGAAAAAAACATTATAGGAAATACTGAGAAGAATTCCTTGCTCTGTGAAACATTGAAATATTTGAAAAAGAGAGCTAATCATTTTAACTTCGACTGTATACTGTAGAATATTAGTTAATGCAGGCTTTAACAGTAATTGAATAAGCAAGTTAATTCTTAATAAAGGTACAATTGTTCATTGTTAGTTCATGCTAGCTTAAATTGACTAATTAACAGCTTACAGAAAATTTCGTTCTTATTAGTGCTGGGAAAAAATTAATTTAATCGCAATTAATTGCATCCAAAATAAAATTTTGTTCTGACATTATATATACAATCACTGGCCACTTTATTAGGTATACCCTACTAGATTTGGGTTGGAACCAGTCTGGCCATTCTCCTCTGACCTCTGGCATCAACAAGGCCCACAGAACTGCCACTCACTGGATGTTTTCTATTTTTTAGATCATTCTCTGTAAACCCTAGAAACGGTTGTGCGTGAAAATCCCAGTAGATCAGCAGTTTCTGAAATACTCAGACCAGCCCGTCTGGCACCAACAACAATGCCACATTCAAAGTCACTTAAATAATCCTTTCCTGATGCTCAGTTTGAACTGCAGCAGATCGTCTTGACCATGTCTCCATGTCTAAATGCATTGAGTTGCTGCCATGTAATTGGCTGAGTAAAAATTTGCGTTAACTAGCAGATAGACATGTGTACCTAATAAAGTAGACGGTGAGTGTACATGTGTGTATTATATACAATTATTATGTATATGTGATCCACACACACATACATAATAACAAAACTATTTTGTTACATAGATATTTCATCTTATATAGAATTTGTATCATATATGTAAATAAATATAAATAAACATTTTCTCAAATATATACATGCATCTGTGTATTCACATATAAATAATAAATATACACAATACACACACTTACAGTAAATTATGTTGAACAAACTTTTATTTTTGGATACGATTAATTTTTGCCCAGCACTAATTTTTATGAATGTAATGTAATTAGCAATGCTATTATTGATGCTTAAGACAGAAAAACTAAGATCAATTCATGCTTTTGATGTATTCACATCATATTAGTTACTACTGTACGATTTATTGATGGTTTAGAAGTCATCTAGGATTAAATTATTTGAAAAAATAAAACATAAAATAACTGTAGCTCTGTGAAATATTATTTCAGTTCAATTTTTTTCTACTTTAAAAAATAATATAAATATTAATTATTTATCAAATTTCAAAGTTAAATCTTTAGTGCAATTTTCAGTGTCTCATTATTATTCAGAAACCATTTACTGTAAACATGCCGATTTGGCAGAAATGCATTATTCTAAATGTAAAATAAAAAACACGCCTCAGTCAGAAATTGCTAGTAAATTTTATAATACTTCTTGCACTTTAATAATCTGTTTTATTTGAAACTTTTTAATTTTTGTTTTTTATTCTATGTATAGTAATGCAGAATTGATAAAAAGATGTGATGATAGACCTCACAAAAATTTCTTGACTGCTTATAACATAAGATAAAAATCAAAAAGACATGAGATAATAGACTTTACATTTTAAACACCAACCTTTCCTGTGCTCTTGGCCTTTCTGTAGATAACCTTATACTGCAGCTCATCCCCGAAAACATCCCGAATATTTAATCTCTTTTTCTGATCATCAAACAGAGCCGTCGGGACGTCCGTCACATGCAGCTTTGTCATTCTTTTATCGCTGCTTACTTCTATTTTAAACTCTGGTCTACCAATGTCCGCTGAAACACAATCAAAGCAGGTATAATTTAACAAATCCAAAAGTCACATCAGCAGAGGATTGGTTCACTTCCAGAATAAAAATGTACTTATGATTAAAGTCATGTTCATTTCATACTTTCTTAAGTCAGAAATAAATGTTTTTTGAGATAAAACATGCAGGATTTTCTCCATATAGTGGACTTCTGTTGAGTTTTATAGTTTAAACTTCCAAACTGTAGTTTCAATGCTGCTTTGTGCTTTTTTTAAAGTATATTTTTTTTGTATAAATTGTAAAAATGTATAAATTTTTTAACCACAAGCGCTTGCGTTTGTTCAAAATTTATCTCTTTAATATTGCTTACATGCTTCTGATTGGGTTTCTATTATGTGCTTATTTTACGATTCATCATTTCTCTTTTATTTTGCTGTATATTAGCATTTCTTGAGTGTATTGCTCTTTTTGTTGAATCGCTGAATGCCTCCTCAATTGCAAGTCGCTTTGGAAAAAATCATTTGCTAAATAACTACATTTAATATTGTATCAATATTACTGTTTAGGCAGCACAATATAAGAAAAATTTCATTTACTACGATATATATAGCGATATAAATTCAATTTCAGCAAATGACTTAAATAGTGAGTAAAGAATTCATCATTTTAGATGATTTGGGATGAATCTGTAGGGGAGCAAATCTGCATAAAATATCATAAAAAGGACAAGCATAGTTAAATACAACAGAGAAAAGATGTAAATAAACAAAGATTTAGGATTTTCTGGGGAGTCAAACAGTAATCAGAAGCAGAAATTAAATAATCACCATATAATAATAATAATAATAATAATAATAATATGATAATATTAAATATACCACTGTATTGTTTAAATTGAGTAAATTATTATATAATGTACAATTAATCTTCAAGCTACATACATTTCATTTATTGTGCCCAAAAGTTTAAATTTGCTTTAAATTGTTACAGTCAGGTCTTAAACACACATGCAAATAATAAACTTTCACTCTAAGGTTAAAGTATGAAATTAATACACTATGTTGTTAACAGTAATGTCTTGTGTTCCTCGGATTAATACTTTTTTTTTTTACTTGTAGACTAATCCTAAATTTGTACCAATTGCAGAGAAATCGCCTCTTACGTCATTCAAATCCCATGTATAAAGGCTTTCCTTTATTTCCTTTATTTAGGCTTTCCTGTAATATATAATGATGACGGAAGAAGTTGAGGTGGGTTATTCGGGATGTGGTGGGTTTCTTAGGTTATTAAAGGTATTTTCTATCACTACTTGTTTAGCCTGCATTAATGCATTCAGTGTAAGCTGCATGAGTAATCATACAAAGATCGGGATCTCCACATCCACGCAACATAAATTATAAATGATGTTGATTTGCATATGTTTATTGATCCTTTGAATAGCTGCATTCAAATCTGTGTTTGAAAAATGCAAAAATCAAGAAAGAGATTCAGCCTTTAGTCTTTTGAATTAGTTATAAAGTTACAGTCAAATAACACAAAGTACCAGGATAACAGTTTATAATTTAGATAAAACCACTGATGTTTATGATAAAGATTAAAATCACCTTGATGTGCAGTTAACTAAGCAGCAATTACAATATTTAACCAATAGGTGGCGACAACCAGCCATCAGAAATGTGCCACTGAATAATTCTTAAAAAATGATCATCTAGCAATAAAACATGAAGTTAACGAAATAATGAATTAATGAAACATGAAAAATATAATATAAATAAATATAGGTTGTACAAATAAATATGGGTTCTACAAATTATAATGTTAGATTTCTACATTTAGCGTTATCAGCAACAGTAGTAGTAACAGTGATTTTTTTTTACAGTACTAAATATTTTACTATTTATTTTTATTCTGCTGATTTTATTTTTTATAAAATTACAGATTCTAAGTTCTGTTTGTTAAAACCAAAAGTGTCTTGGAGTACTGTTTTTGTAATTAATGGAAAGCAAATTATATTTGTCTCCTCCCCTTTTTGGCTGATCCAAAAAATGGTCCGATACGTGACTAAAAAACCTTAATGTGATCTGAACCGTGAGATTTGTGATCCAATACACCACTACTAATGAGTGTTTAGAGTTTTTTTGAAGATGCATTGAAATGGAAATTTAGTAGTTACCTCCTTTTTGGTAGAAAAAAATTATACTTTTAAAAAAAAAAAAAAAACTTAAATTAAAAGTTTAAATATTACTAACTGTTTCTGTTTTTCTTAAAACTATTTATTTTTGACTGTAAAAAGAAGAAAAATTAACATCTTGAATGACAAGAGAATAAAAAAATGATCAGGCAATTTTCATTCTGGAAGTGAACAAATCTTTTCAACAAAAGAGCAAAAGTTGAAAGCAAAAAAAACAACTAAACACTGACTGTCATGATAAGGAGAGAATTTCCCAGAGCTGACATGAGGGAATTCGACCAGATCAGAGGAGACGCCCCGCATGGGTTCAGACAGGACGTCAGCGCTGTAATAGGCCTTCAGGTTTTTTAACACTGCAGTCAGGTCACATTCGGTATCCATCGTCCTGATGCAGTATGGCGTGCGTTCTCTGTCCTGGCTGAGTCTGCGATGATGTTACACAGACGTTTAGATAGTAAAAAACATCATTCGGATTAAATAAATGGATAATAAATTACATGACTAGTGACAAGAGCTAATGACAAGTTAAAGCACGTTGTAACAAGTCATGGGTGTGGAAGTATGCAAAAGTTGCCAAATCTACACATGCGAGAGTTCATATAGGATTTTCCTAATTATAAAACAATATTTATCAGTAATATTGGAGCTGGATTGGAGTTTAAAAAGTTAAGAGGTGAATTCAAAGCATTAAAGACTACTTGAAGATTTACATTTCTCATGAAAAAGCATCGTAAATTGAGTAGAAATGAGTAGAGATGTTAAATGGAGGGAAATGGAAAGAATGAACCATAGTTTATGCACTTTTTTTGCTTGCTTTTATGAGTTTATGGCCATGTTCAGATTACAGTGAGAAACATTTAATATAAACTAGCAAAACTACTTATAACCACAGATAAAACAAATAACCATGTAAAAACGGATCAAAAGTAGCTTTTTCTTTCAAGTGAACTCTCAATACTTAATGTAGAAACATGACTTCTAAAAACTACTAAAACAGCTCCAGTAATTTCCTTAAATCATGTTTTAAGCAGTTGCACAACATAATAAAAACATGATATCTAAATTTAGCTAAAATGTAGTTATTTTGTTGCTTTTTAGCTAATTAACTCATGTCATAACAGCCATATTATAAGGGAAACATTTAATTATTTTGTTCATATATATATATATATATTTTTTTAATGCAACAACATAGGCTACAGTATTGTATATTAAACCTGGGGAAACTGAGACTTAAAACCTTTTTACAATTGACTTTAAACAATGTCTTGCTAATTCAGGCATCCTTCTAATCCTAAAAACATGATATCTAAATTTACCTAAAAATGTAGTTATTTTGTTGCTTTTTTGCTATTAAACTCATTTCATAACAGCCATATTGTAAGGCAAACATTTAAGTATTTTGTTCATATATATATAAATATATTTTTATGCAAAAACATAGGCTACAGTATTGTATATTAAACCTGGAGAAACTGAGATTTAAAACCTTTTTTACAAATGACTTTAAACAATGTCTTGCTAATTCAGGTATCCTTCCAATCCTAAAAACATGATATCTGAATACTGCTAAAAAAAAAAGTTTTTTTCTGCTAATAAACTTCTTGTTTGATAACTGTCACATTCTAAGGCAAATATTTAACAGCTTTGTTAAAATATACATTTACTATATGTCAATGATGTACATATACAGTATATTTGTATATTAAATGTGGGGAAGCTGATATTTAAAACATTTTTGTAAGTGTCTTTAAATGATGTCTTGCTAATTCAGGTATCTCGCTAATACTACAGAATAAAAACATGATATTTGAAGATTGCAAAATATTATTATTATTAATATTTTTAATAAACTACTCATTTGATAACTGTCACATTCTAAGGCAAACATTTAATTGCTTTGTTAAAATATTACATTTTCTATGTGACACTAGTGTATAAATACAGTATATTTGTATATTAAACTTGGGGAAAATTAGATTTAAAACCTTTTTACAAGTGTCTTTAAATGATGTCTTGCTAATTCAGGTATCTTTGTAATCCTAAAAACATGATATCTGAATGTTGCTAAAAATGAAGTTGTTTTGCTTCTAAGGCAAACATTTAATTGCTTTGTTAAAGTATTTAATTTTCTTTGTGACACTGGTGTATTTATAAACGGTCAGTGTGGGAACTATACATCAGTGATCGGGGTGGGGTGGTAATACATGCTTCAGTGAATCAAATTGATAAATGTATTTAAATTACATCTAATTTATTAATAAAATGTAAACATTTTCAGTGTTTTGAGGGATAATTAGTGACTATTTTAGAGGTCACTGTAGATCAAACTATATAAATTATGTATAATTTTTCATTTTTAGGCTACATGCAGATATAAACAGCTATTTTACAAGATATGTGTTTTTTGAATACTTAAGATGTCTATCGGTGCTCCAGAACTGCAAGTTTCAGACTGTTGAATGATTGTAAAATGCGCAATTATGCATTCACAATGGTATAAACCGTTATGGGCGGTCAAAGTATATTTATATTATACATTTTAAAGTTTGAATGTTTAAGATGTAAATCAGAGATCAGAAAAAGCTATGTCTTACTGTTAAAGGGCAGACCCCCACATACATTTTGTAATGTCCTTTAGGGGGAATCAAGTGTTAATTATGGGGTCGCTCCCCCCCAAATCCCCCTGTTATTTGCACCTTTTAATACTTGTATATTAAACTTGGGGAAACTTAGATTTAAAATCTTTTTAAAAGTTTCTTCAAATGACATCTTGCTAATTCAGGTATCTTGCTAACCCCACATAATAATTGTATCTGAATATTGCTAAAAAAAATTATTACTTTTTTTGCTAATAAACTCTTCATTTGATAACTTTCACATTTTAAGGCAAACATTTAATTGCTTTGTTAAAATATAAAATTTTCTATGTGACACTAGTGTATGTATACAGTCAGTGTGCGAATTATACATCAATGATCAGGGTGGGGTGGTACAACTTGGTAGTAGTTTGGTAATACATGCTTCAGTGAATCAATTTTATAAATGTATTTAAATTACATCTAATTTATTTGAGTGGTTTTAGTGACTATTTTAGAGGTCACTTTAGATCAAACTATATAAATGATGTGTCTAATTTTTCTTTTTTAGGTCACATGCAGATATAAACACCTATTTTACAAGATATGTGTTTTGTAAATACTTAAGATGTCTATTGGTGCTCTAGAAGTGCCATTTTTAGACTGTTGAATGACATTGTGAGTGGGCAATTATGCATTCACAATGGTATGAACCGTTATGGGGGTTAAATGTATATTTATATTATACATTTTTAATTATTAATACTTAAGATATAAATCAGAGATTAGAGAAAGTTTTTTTCTAACTATTAAAGGGCAGACCCCCACACACATCTTGTTATAATGTCCTTTAGGGGGATCACGAGTTAATTAGAGGGGTCACTCCCCCCCAAACCCCCCTGTAATTCGCACCCAAAGCTGCATACAATATACTTGTATATTCAACTTGGGGAAACTGATATTTAAACGATGTCTTGCTAATCCTACATAGTAAAATTGTAGTGCTAAAGATTGAATGAACAACCTGAATACTAACTGTATGGTAAAAACAAAGAAATACTTACTCAGAAAACTCAACTGTGTAGGAATAATTGGTTGGTTTTGGACTCCACGTTAGCATGGATTTAAAGTTTACAGAAGACCAGGATACATTCTTTGCTTTTGGAAACACGTCTATAAAGAAGCAAAGTTGAAAAATAATTAATAATATTTCTTTAGATTGCGTAACATTTAAAATAAAACGACAAGAACAAATGAAAAAACACAGGTAAGAGACTCACCTGAGGCGCAAGACGTCGTGAAGAATGAAACCAGCGCCAATACAAGCGTATGTAATGTAATTTGTCTCATGTTACTGTCCATATTGTCCCAAGTCCACAATACTGATCCAAATACCAGGTTATACTCCCGTGGGATAAAAATTAGACAGTTTGAAGTCCTCCCAAGTGGTTTATGAAGTCCTCCTGACTGTGTCTGTGTGCGCTCGTAGGAAAACAGCCAGTTTTCAGTTGTGATTTCAGACAGCGAGACTAATGAAGCCCCGCCCTCTAAACAAGTGGGTCCGTCTACTCATTTTACCATATATGGGCTTCCGTGATGATACAGTAAGCTGATTACACACAAACAAAACCTAGAGATTCACTGCATTTTAGGAGTGTGCTTACTGTAAAGTTCTTTGGGTTGACTTTTACAATTTAATTAAAGAAATTTTATTTCCAAACTTTTGCACATCCCCCAAAATTTTATTCTTCGGTTACTCTCTAAACCTAGACACCTCTCATTGTAAATTTCTTATTAATTTGTTGCTTTTCTGACTAAATTTTACATCCATAAATGTAAATCTTCAAAAAAAAAAAAAAAAACACACCCTTACGTATAATTTTCAGAAAGGATTTTGATTTATATGTGAACTTTATATGTGACTCTATTCATAATATTGCATGTAAAACTCTTTCTTAGTATAAATCTTTTAAACTTGTAGAATTGTTTGTCTCTTTGTTCATATTGTGTCTTTGTCATTGTTCTTTCTTGCATAATAATCATAATAAAATTGATTCAGTGCTTATTTATTCATTCATTCATTCATCCATTTTCAGTCCCTTTATTCATCAGAGGTTGCCACAGTGGAATGAACCGCCAACTTATCCAGCATATGTTTTACACATGTTTTGCCCATCCAGCTGCAACCCAATACTGGAAAACATCCATACACTCTCATTCACACACATACACTACGGCCAATTTAGTTTATTTGATTCGCATATAGCGCATGTCTTTGGACTGTGGGAGAATATGTAAATTCCACACTGAAATGCCAACTGACCCAGCCAGGACTTGAATCAGTGACCCTCTTACTGTGAGGTGACAGTGCTAACCACTGAGCCACCAAGTCGCCCCGATTCAGTACTTACTCATACTCTTTTATTTATTACTTCAGTTTATTATTTATGTGGTTGTTCAATCGCCTCATTGAGTTAAAATAAAATATTTAAAATGGTGAAATATAAAATAAAGTGATTTAATGATTATTCCCTGATATTGTGTAGACAAAACTACATGCAAAATAATATAATTATAATATTATATAATAATTTATTTTACTTAAAATGTGTGACCTAATATGATATAATATAATATAATATAATATAATATAATATAATATAATATAATATAATACAATTAATATAATATAATTAATATGATATAATATAACTATTACATAAATCCTTATAATAAACACACTATATATGTATACAGAATTTTGGAGGGGGAATTGTTTTTTTTAATTAAAACATAATAATCAATTATTACTATTGCATAATTATCACAGTTTATTTAGAGTTTTTCCCCAAATTTGTTTATTTTTGATAGTCAGTTTCTATAAAGACTCATTCAAGGCAAGTCTGCAATCAATTAATAAATCAACCAATCAATAAAAACACTTATTTTCCGTCACTTTAAATATATATTGATATTTAGACTTGAGGTTAGATCATCTGAAGTGTTTAGTCACTTTTCAGACATTATGCAGCAACAGCAGAAGTGTGGGAATGTGCAACTTCCTTTTATCCTAGATAAAAGTAGCACTAGATTACAGCATGAGCTTTTATTATGTCCAGGTTGCTTAAAAACAACAATCATTTGTGTCAGATTTGTCTTATTAAAAGAATTCAGTCTTTGCGGATACATTCAGTAAATGAACAGTTTAGAGATTGAAAATGCACATGTAATCTGAAGCTGACGTAAACTCACCAGTGTATGATCTAATCATGCATTCTGTCACACATAAAAGCTTATATGGTCATTAACCCAACCATTTACCACCAATGCAAGAAGTTACTCATGACAGGCTCATGATTTGTATTTCGGGAAGTGTGACTCCAGTTCTGCCCCAGTTTCAGGCGGTATGTGACGCTGGCACCTCTAGAGGGCTGAAAGCCAGCAGGGGTCTTTACCCCATTCAAACCCTTATGCTAATGAGCAGCTGGTACCTCACTTTTGCCTGTGGCTTTGCATGCTAAAATGCTTTCAAGACTCAGTGCTTCCAATGAAACTCACCCAAAACCACCAGAGATGTGCTTTTTCTTGAAAGTGTCATCATAGTACTGTCTGATAAACTTTTTAGACAGAGATTTGTCATATTTTTCAAGTGCATTAATGCATAAACTTGAATATAATTAGTTAATTAAAGGATCAACGTCATAAAATTATAGACTTAATCTTTGTTTGGGTGTTTCATGCATTCATTCATATTCTTTTTGGCTTAGTCGCTTTATTATTCAGGGGTCGCCACAGCGGGATGAACCACCAACTTATCCAGCATGCCTTACTTAGCGGATGCCCTTCCAGCTGCAACCCAACACTGAGAAACATCCACACTCATTCACACTCATACACTACAGACAATTTAGATTCCCCAATTCACCTATAACGCATGTTTTTGGACTTGAGCAACTGGAGCATGCGGAGGGAACCCACACAAACACGGGGAGAACATGCAAACTCCCCATAGAAATCCAATTGACCCAGCTGAGGCTCGAATCAGCGACCTTTAAGTTCAATGGACTCATAAGGTCAATTTGATTCAGCTTAAAAATTTAAGGCAACCAGGGTTTTTTTACAGTGTGCTCCCAAAAACTGAAATATTAATACTGAAGAAGGTAATATTAGTAAAGCTGCACTATTTTTTAGTTGCTCTTCTACATCTAATCTATATCTATTCAGTTGCGGAACTTCCTGGACAGTTATTTGAAATACTTTCACAACATGTACTGAATATGAAAACAATATACAGTTATCACTCCTGCATTCCTCACTTGTGAATGAAGTCATGATTTATTTGTGTGGTACAATAGAGCGGGTCTGCTGCATTGGCTCCTCCTCTGGGTTTTTCTGACCTCTCGTTACCCAGATCGTCTCAAGTGCTTCTGGAGGATCCTGTGAGGATGCGAGGCTCAAACAATAGGCAGAAGCAGAGTTTATTTGGTTGAACTCATTTATACTCATACATTCTAAAACACATTCAAGCCTTATGCACTGTCATAAGGTTGTAGGAAAATATTAATAACATTTATTAGACAGCACAGCCGCTTTGGTTTGACCTTTCCAAGTTTATGGGAAGAGACACAGTAATATTTCTGCAAATGTTTCCTTTTATTTGTTGCTATAAAATAGTGTAGTTAAATTTGCATTTTGATTGAAATTATTCACATTTTGATCTGATTTCATATTTTAAATTAATTAAGAAAATAATCAAATGCTTTTCAAATGGGACTGGGGATTGGTTCATCTAGGTACAGTATTAAAAATATTTGTATTAATTATGCTGGAAATTAAATCAAATTATTTTTAAATGTATAATTAATTAATTAATTAAGATCCACATTAGATGATGACACCAAACTGTAAATATAGGGAAAATGAACATGTATATTTATATATATATATATATATATATATATATATATATATATATATATATATATATATATATATATATATATATATATATATATATTTATCATTTACTTATACTAGTTTATTAAAATACTTCTAATATTGGCTGATAAGAACTGTTGCCTTACAGCCAGAAGGTCGCTGGTTTGAGTCCTGGCTGAGGCAGTTGATATTTCTATGTGGAGTTTGCATGTTCTCCCCATGTTGGTGTGTGTTTCCTCTGGGTGCTTGGGTTTCCCCCACAATCCAAATACATGCATATAAGTCATATAAGTGAATTGGATGAATTAAATTGGCCGTGGTTCATGTGTGTAAATGAGTGTGGATATTTCCCAGTACTACGTTGCAGCTGGAAGGGCATCCGATGTGTAAAACATGTGCTGGATAAGTTGGCGGTTTATTTCGCTGTGGTGACCCCATATTATTAAATGGACTAAGCCTAAAAAAGAGTGATTTAATTAACTTAATAATGAAAATCAGCATTCAACTCTAAAATTAGGGAAATTAAAAACATATATATTTAGTATTTTATATACTAATTCATTAAAATTTTTTCTAAAATTGGCTGATAATCTTTATTGTTCTAGTCTTTTAGTTTTTTAAGTAAACTAAAGCTAAAATAAATAATAAATAATAAACTACATATAAATATTTAAAATGCATGAAAATCAAAATGAAATAAAACTAAATTATTAAAATTTGTATATATTTAATTAATTAAAGAAAATCAACATTAGGCAAAGACATCAAACTGTAAACATTGAGAAAATTAGCATATATATTTACATATTTAATATTTACTTATACTAGTTCATTAAAATATTTAAAATATTGGCTGATAATCTTTATGGTTTGAATCAGGTAAACTTTAGTCAAGTAAAGCTAAACTATATATACATTTTTAACACACATACATTGTCGAAATAAAACCAAATGAATAAAATATAATACAAATTTATTAAAAATGGAATGAAAACTAATTAAAACTGTTTATTAAAAACTTTAATATTTTAATGATGTAAATAGGTTCTGATATTATCACGCCCTAGGATTTCTGATCTTTTTTGTCTTGGTCACTTCAAATGAGAAAGAGGACCGATTTTTCTTTGTTAACAAATATATTCAATTCAATTCATCTTTATTTCTATAATGCTTTTATAATGTAGATTGTGTCAAAGCAGCTTAACATAGAAGTTCTAGTAAATTAAAATTGAAACTGTGACAGTCCAGTTTTCCGATTTGAAGTTTAGTTCAGTTCAGTGTGGTTTAATTTTCACTGCTGAAATACTGAAGTCCAAACATTGAAGAGCAAATCCATGAGCAGCTCCACAAGTCCCAAACCAAGCAAGCCAGAGGTGACAGTGGCGAGAAACAAACTTCACCAATTGACGAAAGTAATAGAAAAAAATAATATAATATTAATAATAATAATAATAATAATAATAAGAAGAAGAAGAAGAAGAAGAAGAAGAAGAAGAAGAAAAAGAAGAAAATAATA